GTTGGGGGCGATATGCTGACTCTGTAAACCGCTTAGAGAGGGCTGAAAGCCCTATGAAGCGGCATATAAGTCTAACTGCTATTGCTATTGCTAAACTCAAGGACATATTTTAGTTGCTAAGAAACTGCACCTAAATGCTCGTGTGTGGCTTACTCAGTGCAGCAGTGCAGCAGAAAAATGCAATTGTTGTGTCTGCACTACTTAGAAATACTTACAAGTTAGTTGAGCAAATTTTCCTTTCTGTTGTCCTCCTTTTTCCTTCCCGCCTTTTTCCTTCAGGTGTCCCCCCTTTTCCTTTTGTTCCTTCTGGTCTTTAGGGTTGGTGGGCTTTACTTTCTCAAGCACAGCCCCATACAACAGAGACCTATCAAAAGAAACAAAAGCGCTCACTTAAGTTTCCCCGAATGCGAGTAGTCCTTTTTTGGTGGTTTCAATCGGTTGTGGCGAAATGGAAGGTGGTGAGGACACGATTACTTAAGTAAACCACATGACTGAGAAGGAAAGAAACTCCCTACAGAGGTTGCCGATTGCTGGCATCTCATTGAGATCAAGCACTCTTCAGGATACAGGGTCTTGTGCCTGATCTGCCTCCCCCCCCCCCAATTCTGTCCTCACACATACTTGACTTAACCAAGTATCTCTTCCTGAGCTGCTTTTCTTGGTAGTGTGTCCCTAAAAATGCTACCTTAAAGTTAACAAACTCACCTCTGTAACCCCAGTTAGTTGATTAAAATCTGTCCAGTGACCAAAACTGACCAGACTTTGATCAGTTTCATACTGAAGGCTTTTGTTGTAGTAAATGTACACATTGGTCAGAAAATTAATTTTTTAATTACCATTTATTATCATTGTACTTGTGAATAGTCACTATCAGCTGCTGAAACAAGGACTGCTGATAATTATTTATAATCTTCCATTCAGAATGTGTTTATTTTTCACGTTTAAATGCCACTAAACTCAAGAATAACTCTGGGCAATATATAATTAAAAACAAATCCAACACATTATATAAAAAAAGAAAGCAATAACCAGGAATTAAAATAAGCAGCCGCTTAATAAAATTCTGCCACTGGGAGCCGAGGTATACATAGGTTTAATTAATTAATTACAGGCAATAAAATGAAGGGGTATTCTCCTAATTCAGTAAAGACCTGGGGAGGCAGAATTTATGGCAATGTGAAGCTTGGGAAAATACTACGTGACATATGGCCTATTCCTCATCAGATAACATTGTTTAAGGTGACTAACTGGATAATGTCAATTCTCTCTAATGTTATTGGCCAGGGGGAAATGGTGTGAGACCTATAAGCCTCCAGGTCACATGATCCAGCATTCTGAGCATCAAAGACTCAAACTTACTGAAAGCCAATGCTGCTTATTCAGCAGAGCTGTAGTTTGAGCATAGCATTGGGAAAGGCTTTGAATGCTCTCCAAGGTCCTTCTTACCCTTAAATATTTAGTTTTTATTTATTCGACTTATACGCTGTCCATCTTCCGGCAACTTCTAGGTCGTCCCCCTCCATCTCCAGTATAATTATATTATACTGATTCCATAAATAAAGCAAAAAAAACCGTTTCCTTCATACGGGCGGGGGTGGGTGGGGGTGTTCTTTCACATGGGGAGGAGTTTATTCCCATAGTATGGGTAATGGCAAAATGAGTTTGGAGGTTAATCACCGCACTATGCATTCCTGAATGAGTTTCACCAGTCCATCCAATATATTACAGTTGTATCAGTTGAAATGGGAGTATGGCAAGAGTCATACTTAGGACATACATGGCACATTGTGGGAAGGGATTCCTAATAAAAACCTGTAAATGCTAGAAACTTTCCTACAGAACTTTTCACATCAGCAGAATGCAGAATTAGAATAACAGAGTTGGAAGGGACCTTGGAGGTCTTCTGGTCTAACCCATGCTCCAGCAGGAAATCCAATAATCATTTCAGACAAATAGTTATCCAATCTCATCTTAAAAATTTCCAGTATTGGAGCACCCACAACTTCTGGGGGCAAGTTGTTCCACTGGTTAATTGTTCTAACTGTAAATACATGAATTGCAGAAACTGTGTTGAAAAAGTAGTGATGTTCAGTGGTAATCATGTTGAAATGTTATGCTTGCACCAGTCATTCATGAACATTGTTATATTCATACCTGTCTCCTGAATGCTGGAGAATAACTATATGAAAATTTGCTGGCAGTTCATTCATGATATTAAAATGATTTGAAGAAATGGAGAGGCTTCCCCATGCCTACAAAAAAACACACCCCATAATTATGTTTCAAAAAAGTTAGGAATGCCATTCATAAATATTATACCAGCATTCTCAAAAGAGATTTTGATTGGATACAAGCATTTTATTTGTAAATATTTACAGGTCAGTGATTAACATGTACAGGAACTCCTCCACTTACGACAGGTCATTTAGTGGCCATTCAAAGTTACAATGCCACTGAAAAAACGACATGACCATTTTTCACACGTGAGATCCTTGTAGCATCCCCACAGTCACGTGACCGAGCTTAAGATGCTTGGAAGCCAGTTCGTATTTATCGTGGTTGCAGTGTCCCAAGGTCATCTGGTCACCTTTAGAACCTTTTCACAAGCAAAATCAATGGGGAAGCCAGATTCACTTAACAATTGTGTTACTAATTTATTAACCGCAGTGATTCACTTAACAATTGTGGCAAGAAAGGTCATCAAATGGGGCAAAACTCACTTAGCAACAGAAATGTTGGCCTCAATTGTGGTCGTACGTCGAGGACTACCTGTAATCATAATAACTTAAACTTATAGAAAAAACTATTATGAGTTACATGTTCATGATTAATCTATAAAGATTCTTCGTTAGAAAGTTACGACAAACTATTCAGTGTGTTAAGCATATGTATAAATGGATGAGCCTTTCAATATTGGAGAATGAAATGATCATATGTGTCCATTCATCACTTGTTCCATTATGCAGGAAGACATCTGCAGAGAAACAGAATTAGGCAGTCAACCACTTATGTAAAATAATGGTAATATTACTGTCCTTTTCCGGAGGAACTCTTTCAGAGTCACTTGTAGGGAAAGAGAATGAGGTGCCATCCATGCCTCCTGGCAGGAGTCTCGACCGAGGGTCTCTCTGTAACCGGGTGGGAATGACAGTTCCATTACCTTTGATATAGCAGCCAACCTCTGTTCTACGGTTTTGAGGAGGCCACTTGTCTCTCCTCTTTGTTGCAAGTTGTGCTGCAGATGCAACATGGCTGCCATCTGTGAACTGCTGCTGTTCAAGGTGGCCCCTAACAGGATCTCTTTCATAATCAAGGATGCCGTGCAACTCTGGAAAATCGCAGCATTGGATTTATTGTCAGGTAAGCAAGTATTTGTAAAAGCAGACTTCTACTCAAAACCCAAGCAAGCTGCAGTATTTACGCGTACATTAATGCAGTGTTTCTCAACCTTGGCAACTTGAAGATGACTGGACTTCAACTCCCAGAATTCCCCAGCCAGCGAATGCTGGCTGGGGAATTCTGGGAGTTGAAGTCCAGACATCTTCAAGTTGCCAAGGTTGAGAAACACTGCATTAATATATTGTAAAAATATTTTCAACCAGACTGACAGTAAATATAAAGAACATTTCCAATCATTCACTTTCTTCTAAATAATTCCATGATTCTTAGCCGTTTCCTTACCTTTAAAAAAAGGATTACGTAACTTTTATGTAAACACTGATTATTAAAGATCTTCCTTCATTCTGTTTCAAGAGAATTTCAGATGAAAAGCATTGGTATTTTCCCCAGAACTGCATGTTAAGTTGTTTGCTTTGCAATGAAAGCAACTTAAAGTGAATATTAAACTTCCTTCCATTTTAAAAATCTATAAGTCTCTAGATGCTAACCAAGAAAGATGATTTGCATTGATCAAGAGTTCTCAATTACATCGTATTCAAAATAATAAATATATAACCTACAGTTGAAGCAAGCAAGAATTATAATTTCATTCCATAATATTATAGCCTGCATTTGCAGTTGTTTTATATTTTAAAATGAATTATTGTTTGGGTTGTGAAAACCATTCTGATTCCAGAATGGACATTTTAGCATCTTCTACCAAGTTTGGAATAAAATTGTTCCAATCCAAATCTAAATTATCGAGAACCGAATTATGCATTAGCTAAAAATCCAGGAAACATATTGTTCTTTCACGCTGTCACTGATTGGAGCTAACATAGAAGAGGAGAGTGGAGTCAGTGAGAAAAAATCATACACACTGTGCAGATATTCTTAAATTCTTCACTACAGAAAAGGATAGCGATATATACATTTGTGCTTTTTTTTTAAACCTAACCCTTTAATCTTGCAAACCATTTTAACACTATCCCAAGAAGACTAACTCATCTACAGCTATCCAACTTATTTTTGTTACCAGAGGATAAAAAACGAGATAGCAAAGAACTTATTTCAACTTCCCATTGTTCCCTATGGCGTAATTTGTGGGTGATTTCAAAGTTTTCCCCCCCTAGAAAACAGTATTTTCAGAGCATTGTGATGGAACATTCTGAGGTGAACTGTTTCATTCTGCGGTTGGAACAGAGCCTTTCGTGTGTTTAGCACACAACTGCAATTACTATTGTAGCTTAATTGGTAGCAGACATTGTGGTTATTATTTTGATTTACAGTTCTCGTCTTACCTGATAAAGAGCTAAAAACTGACTCGCTGAAACTGGATCAAATTGTCCAAAGCACTCCACCATTTCCAAACTAGCAGCTGCCAACATATCGATCAGGTTGTTATTAATTGCAACATTAATGCACTGCAGCAAAACCTCAGTTGATTGAAATATGTATTCATGAGTCCACATCTGCCTCTTCTGCACGGTTAAAAAAAGAACATTCAATATTACTCTCAGAGACGAGAACAAAACACATAGGTACTTATTCCTTTGTGGAAGATGCATTAGTTCGTTCTTACCTCAAATGTATGTTGCTTAATTCGAAAATCAACTGAGCCTCCTGAATACTTAGCCTTCCTCTATAGCAGGCGTGTCAAGACCCGTGAGTCGGATGTGGCCCATTGGGTGCTTAGATCTGGCCCGGGGGCCATTCTGGAACCAACCAAGGACTGGTCTGCAGTGCCTCTGCCAGTAAAATAAGAGCTTGGTGGTGGTGGGGGGCTCCGTTTTTGCTGGCAGAGTGTTGCAGGAGGCCACCGAAGCCGAAAACAGAGCATTGCTGAAGAGATACTGCAAGATGTCGTTTCAGCACAATTGAGACGTGTCAGGATATGTCCTAACTTAAAACGAAACATACCCTTAATTCATTGGCTTTTTTCCTGTAGTCATCGAGCTGCTTTTTAGTAAGTTGCAATAGAGGACTTGGGACTTCATTTTGTTCATCTATTGTTTCTGCTTCTGGTGGTGGAGATTTCTCAGAATTAATTTTAGGCACCTCCTGGATATCACAATTATATAAAAGAATCACAGTCAAACAGAAACGTATTTGATTTTTAAAAAAAAACATGCAGCCCAATGTAAGGTTTAAAAACACTTGAAGGGCCTTCCCTTGAGTTTGTAGCCGAATGCTACAGTCTTTTACGAGCATTTAAATACGAGAGGAATTGATTGCTTCCAGTCACGCTAATTATTCTCAAATATATATACATGGATTATTTGTTTTAGAAAAAGATGCAGGTGATACAAACTCAGAACTGCTTGTATCAACAGGAAAGATGACTACAATGATAGACTATTTTTTTACATTTGCTTTAGCTCATATTAAATCCTGAATAAGTTCAACAATAGAAATTGAATAAAATGATTGTTTAAACAGAACACAAATCCACAGTACTCTTGACAAATGAATTCAACAATAATTAATGAATTATCTCTATGTTACACTGACTTAAGTGGGCAATGATGTTATTTTATACCTTTTTCTTTCTACTCATCTTTCAGAAACGATATACTTAAAAGGTGATTTAAAGCATTTCCTTATCTTTCAGCCAAAGAAATTAAAATACTGCTAAAAGAAATAATCTGCTTCATCTCGATATTTTTACTCCAAATCCTTCTCGGAACAGTGTAAATTGCTCAGTAACTCTTGGTAAGTTAAGATTGTCAAATTGTAAAAGTCAACATTGATTTTTTTTTTCATCAGTCACAAAGTTAAGCAGATAGAAGAGGAATATCTAAAGACACATCAATTTGTTCAGCTGGTTAGAGTTTTCTCATTCTGTTTTCCCAAATTATACCCATAATCAACAAAAATAATATTCAGCAATGGAATTTTCTTGCTTATTGCTCAGAGAAGGTAGCAGTATCAGTGGATTAGTCAGAGTTGGGGTGGCACAGTGGCTAGAATGCAGTACTGCAGGCTACTTCTGCTGACTGCCGGCTGCCTGCAATTTGGCAATTTGAATCTCACCAGGCTCAAGGTTGACTCAGCCTTCCATCCTTCCGAGGTGGGTAAAATGAGGACCCAGGTTGTTGGGGCCGATATGCTTGCATATTGCATGCTGACCTGTAAACTGCTTTACTGCTTCGAGAGGGCTGTAAAGCTACACGAAGCAGTATAGAAGTCTAAGTGCTATTGCTATTCTAAAAAAACTTTGAGAAATTCAAGATGGTGACAGTAATCGTGTGATCAAACCCTTGCCCCTCTGCTTAGAAGACAGAGGATACCAATTGCTGGAGAGAATAGAAAACTGAGATCACTAAGTATCACTGGCAGCGTTTTGTTGGGGGGGGGGTGTCTTATATCACATATCAAAAACATGCACCAAAAAGTATTTGGAAAGTACCAATCACAAAAAAGAACTTTAATTCTATTGAGTGAGCTGTGCCTTACGATTGGAGTTTCACACCACTGAATATCCAAATTAAAAGGCTCCATATGATTAGCTAGGAAATGTAGACTCCTCCCAGTCAGATAGAGATACTTGGCTCTGATGTCAGGACAGCCACCACAAAGACTCGACAGGCTTGTAAGCTGAGCATGGGCATTGTGGCCCACTGTTTGCCCAAGGGTGATCCAAGCCTGTTAAGAATCCAGAAAATATAAAATAAAACGAACAAATTATTAAGGAGAGCAAAACATTAAAATCGGAGTGTTGAAAAGTGCTTAAAAAGTGCTTGCATTCAAAAATATCTACCATAAAGAGAAATAAATTAGTGCTTTAGCCCTAAAGTGTTGCTTAAAAAAATTACACAAAAGAGACATTCCTGAAAGCCTCTGGGTATTGTCTAACGTTTAGCACTTGCCATGTACTTGTTTTTAGCGAGGAATTTGAAGTAGGATATTTCACAGTGGTTAAACGAGATCGAATACTTCTGAACTTCCATATGGCTTCAGCCCTAATTTTATAAACTGCTTTGGTACTTTGAGGGTGACCCAACACTGGGACAAAGAATGGAAAAGTAAATTCCGTTCTCTGGTATATCCGGCAGAGTTTGATATTGTCAACATGACTGTTTCTAGCTCCTCAGGATGGAACTGGGGGTTCTGTACCCCAAATAGCTATTTATTGTGGATAGTGACTAGAGATTGTTGCTGCACTCCATGAGCAATTATATTACTGAGTTTCCCATAAGATTTAAAAAAATAATATTGGTCTAAAATCAGAGAGTGAGATCATTCAGAAGTCTCCAAGGCTCATTTCTGCTCTTTCAGAAATATCAGGTTTGTAATCTGTGAATAGTTATGTTTGTTGCCTAAAAGTTAAAGACATCCTGCGATACAGAAGGTTGGTTTCCACAAGTAAATTGAGTGTATTACAAGATCCTTTCCAAGATGCTTTGTAATGGCCACAATTTTTCACACTGGTGATGCTTAATTTATGGCAATAAATTGAATGTAATAAATTATACAGTACTTATGTATGTATGACATTAAATTGCTCACAGATAATGTTGCTGGCTGAATGGCAACTTTATCTACAAAGATATTCCTTGAGTTGTGACAAGATTGAGCCCAATGTTTCTGTTGCTAAGCGAGACAGTTGTTAAGTGAGTTATGTCCCATTTTATGACCTTTCTCGCCACAACTGTTATGTGAATCACTGCAGTTATTAGGTTAGTAGCACGGTTGTTAAGGGAATCTGGCTTCCCCATTGACTTTGCTTGTCAGAAGGTCGCGAATCACATGACACCCGGACCCTGTCACTGTCATAAATATGAACCAGTTGCCAAGTATCTCGATTTTGACCTTGTGAACCATGGGGGTGCTGCAACATTTTAAGTGTGAAAAGTGGCCATGAGTTACATTTTTCAGTGCCACTGTAACTTCAAACGGTCCATAAATGAATAATTGTAAGCTGTGGGCTACCTGTGTTCTTATCTTTTCCCATTCCTTACTCCTCAGAATTCTCTATGTATATTTCTCAAGAGTGGAGGGACGACTATGGTGAGGAAAAATGGAAAGACTTACCGTACTTGTATCTGGATCCAACCTTTTTTTAAATAAAGTGTTTTGCTCATGTTTTCAATGAGACTTCTATGATAATGATGATTTCTACATGCAGAAGACATTAATTATGAACTCACTGCACAAGGGCATACCTGTTCCTCTGAAGCAGTATCAGGTGTAAACCTTACAAAATTCTCAATAATGTGCTCAATTTGGTCTGCTCTGGCTTCTCTGTTCTTTTTTTCAATATTGATAAGAACAAAAATATCCAAAATGATCTCTATAAAGTTCACCTTCATGTTTGCAAGTCTTCTCATTAAAGGTGTGTTTATATTTCTAGTCTGAAATAAATAAATAAATAAATAAACAACAACAACAACAACAACATTTAAAACAGTTAAAAATTGACAAAATCACCATCAGTCAAATGCAAAAAGCCACACTGCTTGGATCTGCACAGATATTACGAAAATACGTTACGACGTCCTAGGCCCCTGGGTGGGGCCCGACTAGTAACCAATGCCAAATCCGGCGAAACAACTGGCCGCTGTGATACAATTCGATAATAATAATAATAGGAAAGAAACATCAAAACCAATCTCTGTTTCCCACAATTGTAGGAAAGATAGAGATAAACATAGGAGACAAGTATGGAGGAAAGAAAACCACGATCACCGTGCCTCCTTTCAGCCACTGACTTGCTATTCTGTTTTTTGACAAGCTGTCTAGTCTTCATGCAGTGAGAAGCACCGGCCTACTACATTATCAAAAGAGAAAACAGCTGCAAGATGGAATATGGAGGAGGAGAAGGTGCAGATGCTTTTAGCTATTAAGATATATAATATATACATATAAAATGTTAAAATTAATTTTCACAAGAAGATTTGCATGCAAATTCCAAACTTAAAGGAATCCTGTACTGAATATTGATAAAGGTCATTGGTAGTTCTATATGTTCATTATTAGAAGGTTTACTTCGGATTTAGCTCAATCCCAAACTCATTCAGGAGTTAAACTGAAGTAAATCAAATATGAGCCGACACACAAACTCTGTTAACGAACCTTAAATCTGGTGATGTACAGAAAAAGAGGCCTTGGGTTACTAATTACAATATGCTCTGCTTAAGTTAAACAATAGCTTGGGTGTTTATACCACATGCTAACTCAAAACAACAGACACCATATTTTTGGCATTGTAGATTGCATGATCAGCATGTTTAGTATGTCAGTAAAAACCGGTACATTTTTCTTTCTACTCTTACAGAAAAGGAAACTCCAAGGAGGAGAGGGGGAAAAATTGGATTTTCAGTCGCAATTAACATTTGAACCACACATTGAACTGGGGACTGTTTCGACTGGATTTGGGACTGAAGATCTGTCATACTTTCGGTTTATATCCGCACGGTCCTGTGTTTCTGAGAGACTTTCAGAATACTTCCATTTTTACTGACAATAATCTCCATGTTGTGGATGCTGACACGTAAACATCATACCTCATTAATTGGAAGTATATTATTAATGTGTTGAAAAAGCTCTTCCATTCGTGATACTCCACGTTGTGCTAATCTATATGCCTCTATGTAATGATTTTGCTTGTCTGCCGCAAGTTCTGTATGTTTGCCAAGTATCCTGTAAAAAAAATAATATTTTAAACAGAAAGAATGTTTAGTACTTTTCTAAATAAAACAGAACGGAGAAAGAAAACATATAAGCAATACAAAGTTAACAAAATTAAATTACTAAAAATAGCTAAACCAAAGAAAGAGAGGAAAAAGGATAAAGAAGAAGAGCTTTTGAGATTCTTATGTTTTCTTTTTTGTAATCTACTAATTTAACACAGAGGTGCCTTATTGGTGAGATGGTCAGCACATACATACATACATACATACATACATGCCCCTTAGAATGCAGGCTGTGTGAATATTTGCTGTGCTGCGTGGTACTGTAGGGATAGGAAACGTTCTCTATGCAATTATTTTCTTAAAACTTGTGTTTGACAGGCAAAATGGAATGAGTAACTTAATGTCATACTGTACATATATTAGGAAAAATTAGACAAAGTAAATTAACTTGTGTATCCTGGTGGAACATTTACTAAAGATATATAAAAAAACAAAATTGTTAAAAGAAATAAAGATGCAGAAATGTCAAATTTTTAAGACCCATAAATGCTGCTAGAAATTCACTGATGTATATGATCTGTTTGAAAGAATGAATACTTCTAAAAAAAAAAGTGAAAATGGCTGTGTCTAAGAATTTATTTTTGCCTACTGTATGGAAGTGAGACTTATGTATTTAGGAGTATTTAAAACAATGCAGTAAGAATGGGACGCTTAAAAATATCCGTGTTAATGCAAAAAAAGAAGAACAGAATTACAGGACAAATATATGAACAAAGAGTGAATGGGTTGAAACGAAGGAGGAGACCCCTGTGAATCATGATTGGATGGGACTGAAAAGATCGTCAAAAAGAGAAAAAATGAGAATTTTAAAGAACAAAGGACATTTGTGAAGTACGTAAACAGGCGAAAATAGGCTACAACAAGGGCGTGGGACTCGATCGTGAGTTATCATGACTCATCGCATTTTGGCCCTTGCGGAGCCCGGGTGGGTGTGGCCTGTGCACGATACGTCCAGCCTGCGGGTTGCCAGGCCTAGAAGGATAGGAAAGCTTGGAGAAGTGAATGGTGCTTGCGGTGTTTCCCTTTCTTTTTTCTTACCTCATACTTTTAGTTTCTTTAACTCTTTTCTATTCCTTTTATGCATTTTGTGAAACGTTGCTGAGTTAAAAAAAAACGAATAGTATCCTGGTATATATGCATGCATTTATGAGGAATTCTATCTGGGGACTTACCTATGAATATTTGCACAGGCCATCAATGCATCAGCACTACGGTCTTTATATCCGCTAGAAAGGAAGGTCTCCTGTATGTGAATTAACTTATCGTAGGATTCCAGCAATATTGTTGCCAACTCTTCAGAAAAACCGCTAGTGTTAATGAGATATTTAACCAAATCTATCTGTATATACGATTTCCTGCACAGAAGAGGACATGAACAGCATACGGCCAGAGGGTTCATCCAAAGTAGCACATATATTTAAACAACTCTTCTTATTGTTATAAAAATAGCTCCTTGACTAAACAATTAATCAATTAATTAAGTAATCAGCCCTGCATATCAGAAAAGCAGAAAAATCTAATGTGACCCTCAGTGGCGAAGAACAGATTTCAGCTTGCTTGTAAAAAATTGAATGAATAAATATCAAATAAATCTTTGACCAAAAAGTGAAAAAGTTGGGCAGGCCTTTTATTTACAATTTCTCTATACAGGTAGTCCTCGACTTACAACGGTTCATTTAATGACCATTCGAAGTTAGGACCACACTCAAAAAAGTGACTTATGACCATTTTTCATGCTTATGACCTTTGCAGCATCCTGACGGTCTCATGACTGACATTCGGATGCTTGACAACTGGTTCGTATTTATGACGGTTGCATGCTATCCCCTTTCGCGACTTCTGACAAGCAAAGTCAACGGGGCAAATAGATTTACTTAACAACCATGTTACTAATTTAACAATTGCAGTGATTCACTTAGCAAATGTGGCAAGAAAAGTCATGAAATGGGGCAAATTTCTCACTTAACAATAGAAAGGGGGTTA